ATACAAACCAGCAAGAAAATGATTGTGACCCCCGGGGGTTCCACTGCAATATGGAAAAGGGATGTGAGATCAGAAAGGGCTTAAGCTGCATCCTGGAAGCCTCACTTTTTGAAGCCTTCAGTAAAAACAAAATGCAAAGGTACCCAATAGCTACTCTCATTTCTACTGGGTTAAACATACTTGTTAGAAAAAATCACTTGCTGCCAACAAACCTGGATTAATTGCTTTAAGTCTTTGTGACATTTTAAAAACTCAGCCTTGTTCTACTATAATATCAGAAAGCAGGGACAAACATTAATGATTAACAAACCCTGTCATACTTTCACAGGACACTTACCTTTGCCTGTTACTGTTGCTTATATTTTTTGCCCTCTGATGGTATGCTGCAAATACAGCAATATATTTATCTTTGGGCCATTATATACACTTGTTATCTTATCTTGTTATTGATATCTTACACTTGTTATTGATATCTTCTAACACTTATATTGAACACAAAGGGGATGTTAAAGTTCTGTATTAAAAATTATATTCCATTCTAGAATAGTTGTTTTTAAGCTGTTGGACATGTTGCAGTTTTCATCAATGATTTAAAAGCTTATTCTGAAGACTCTGTACATCTTCACAAACTACTGCTCTGAAAGTTGGATGACTTCAGAATATCCTGTTAGAGCAACTGGGCAGAATTTTCTCATGTTGCCAGGGAAAAAATCCAGCTCTGGAACAGAACACTTCTGTTCCTGCTTAATTAATTTTATTTGCTAGGCAAATTTCAGCCCCTGTTTTGCAGTCCAAGTCCTCAAGAACTGCTTCAGCTCTGAAGCAGTTGCATAGACCACTTTGGTAAGAATCTTTGTCCCTTGACTCTCACCTGTCAGCCCTCCCTTCCCTCTATTCTCTTCTGTGTTCTTCCCCTCAATCACCTGCTGCTCTCTTACTATCTTTTCCCAAAGGAAAAGCTGCAGAAGAGAAAAGAGATTTAGTCTTCCCCCTGTACCTCCTTTAGAACTTCTCACAGATTCTCCAGGTGAAATGTTTGAGCAGGAACCAAGCTGTGCCTCTGCTTTTGGACCATATGTTTCTGCAGTACAATGCTGCTCACACGCATCTAGCTATGTCTCTTCTATGCTGCTGTGCTCAAAGGACTGCCACCCTTGCCACGATTTAAATTCTACAAGTCGCACAGAAGGCCCTCTGCTGGAAAGGGGAACGGTTGCTGAGAAACAGAACCAAGAAAACAGCTGCCAGCACTCGGCCTAACCGACATGCCATTGTCACTCAATCTTCTCTAAAATTTCCTCCCAGTAAAAAGCCACTTGTGGGACAAGCTCCTCTTCCCATTTCTGCTTCTTGGAGGTGGGATAATAGGAATTTGTGAAGCAATTTGCTATTTCTTAGCTTCCTTACGTGAAAACATCAAGCGCTTGCTGGCAATGCACAGCTAGATGGATTTCCATCTTCAGAGTTCCTGGAGGTTTTCATCTGTGTAGTTTTAAAATAGCATCGTACTTGCCATATAAAGGAAAGCATCTTTTTCTTCCATCAGGAACAAAATTCGGTCTTTGCCTTCAGCGCGTTGTGGAAGTTTTTTCTGCCAACACATCGCCCTCTCGTGGCCCTCCGGCAAGCCTGCCCAGGAGAGACACTGGAGAAATGCATTTTATTTTTCTTTGAAATTATCTGTGATCCCGATCACACAGCTTCCTAGACCTTCCAAGAGCATGCTGGCTTGCATGTGGTGAGTGTATCTCTTCATTAAAGCAACTATCAGATGCTCACACACGGTGATTACAATAAGATATAGCTAAGCCAGCAGTTCTACAAAACCAGATCCAAATAGGAGTGTCACTGGAGTGTATTTCAACCACTTCTTGTGCCTGCTCTTTGCCTTGCTGTAAACATACAAACCACACACTGGCCCCCTAACTATGAAAAGTTAGAGGGGTGAGGTGGGCTGGGGTGGGCCAGGAAGCTCCATGCAGACTGAGCATTCTCCAGTTGAGGTTAAACAGAGGGAACAAGCTATAATGGTTTTACTTTCACGAGCCTGGGTTTACCTGCCCACTGTTGTTCAGTCCCCTTGATCCCCTTGGCCTTGCAGAGTGAGGAGCAAAACCTGTTAAAAAGAGCTGCACGGATGCTGTCTTAGAGACCATCATCCTCTGCTTTCATACATGTCTTAGGAGACCTGAGACGTGCCAATTAGGACTTACTGCTAGTATGTGTGTATTCCAGAGGGGTGTTTTGTACAGTCACAATCTGCTCAATCACAGATTTCTAGTTGACGGCTGAGCAGAGGAAAAAAATCTAGCCCTTCTGCCCAAACACTCTTGACAATCCTTGTATCTAACTCCTGATTTAGGAAAGCTTTCTGCTGGACTGCAGTCATGTGCATAGCTGCCTTTGGCAAGACAGCATGCTCCAGGCACCTGACAGTCTTGCTACTGCAAGGGTGAACTTGATAGATTAAACCATGCTTAAGAAGGGTGAGGCCCCTAGATGTCTCCTCTTTTAAGACTAGCAGCTCTGAAATGTCTTCACTATTGTGTGCCTTTCCATGTCTAAAGCTGAAAAGGTGCCCAACTCAGTCCAAGGCAGTTGGAAGTGCTAGAGGACAGGAACACAAAACAGAGAGGAGAGCCATGCTGTTCTCAGCCACTTCAGGAATTTATACAGCAAGGCTGCTGTTATGACTAGCGATAGTGAATCCTTCTTACTATCCTTCTTACTAATCCTTCAAAACTACCAGTTTTGGCATCCCAACTGGAATGCACACAGGAGGGAGGGTGACTGGGACTCATCTTAAGACAGAGCATACACCCAATTCTGGACCCAGCTTTGATCTGTGGAGTCTGTTTCCCATTGACTGTCTAAGTGTATTTACAGTTCACATCTGATAAGGAAGTGGACTTGCAACTACATTGGCAGTGTGCTGACATCCAGGCCATGTTGTCTTCTGTGTTCAATACTTGATTTGCAGGCTACCTACCATAAGCAGAACTTACCTGGCTTGCTACCACGTGACAGGACAAGTCACTGGCACTTAGGATTTAATATTATTCTTACCACATGAAGATGATTGCAATTCTCTAGACAGCAGATGGCCAGCTCTCCACTGTAATCCTTTGGGATACAAGTCTGCCACCCCTTCATCTTGGCCTCTGCACCTAGCCAGAGTGCAGGACCAGCTGCATCCCTGCAGTGGAGAAGAATCCCTTTGTGCGCCAGCATCTGTGCCTCAAGCATCATCTTCCCAGAAAGAGCCGGGAATCCAAGAGAACACAAGGCTGAAAGATCAGTGGTCTTGTTTCAATCCTAGAACAACCTAGTAAGTACTTCAGTGGCTGGCCAGCTCTACATGATGTCCACCTATCCAGAACCATTTCCAACCTGATATGAATCCATAACTTACTATTCTTAGAGATGGAAGGAAACTTACAGAAGATCAGGAACTAAGCTCCCAGCCATGCAAGTGCCATGTGCTGTACCAAGCTTTCACATCAGAAGCCAAGCATCTGTGATTGTCCTCCACAACAGCAAAGAGAAGGACGATACTATAAAAAAATACTGGTAAGTCTGGCTGAATCACGTCCAGTTCTTGTATAATCTATAGATTCATGGAGCACTGGAGAAACAGGACTTTTAGACTGTTCAGCACCTCGTGGTACCACTTCCCACAATCAGAGATCATCAAGCAGGCCACTGCTCAGGCTGTCATTCAAATGTTCCTAGGCACAGAGATCTGGCAGGCTAGATCCTCTTGTCCACCAGAGCTGCAAACACACCCTGAATCCTGAGAAGATGATAATCTGACAGATTTTAAAAACAGGCTGCTGTTCCACATGGTATAATTTCCTCCAACACAGAAATTATAACTCACTTGTTGGTACCCATTTCTGTTGGGTTGGAAAATGTGGCTTTAATAGCAATATTAAAATGCCTAATTTGCTTTCACAGGTAAAAAAGTCATCCGTGAGCAAACTATAAATAAAATCAACACAGATGCAAATGGCTGGATACCTCTGAGAGACTTAAACCTATTCTTTAAAGAAGCTCATCTCAACAAGGCCTTTCTTCAAAGCAAACTCAACCCTCTCTCTAATCCTACATCAAGGCCATACAGAATAGCATTTTCTTTTTTAAACCCAGGATTTTTAAAACTATGGTGAAGGCTTTTGAAGGTCATCTGCTTCACTGCTTTTAAACAGCACTAAGGAAAGTGTCCATCTTGACTATTTACAGTGGCTGTACAGTGACTGACAGCGTTACGATCTTTACCATACTGGCACCTGACTAGACATTCTTCCAGTCTATCCTCAATTATCCTGCAACTCACTGAAAAACCAGCTTGAACTAATCAGGGTTGCTGACTAGTTGCTGAACTAGCAATTTGAAAGTGTTAATCTGGTAGCGCAGAAGCTTTCTTGCGCTGGCCATGCCTCATCAAAAACCAATAGCATCAAAATTCATTAGTAAAGTGGAAAAAGAATCTTCTAAGTTACCCGAGCATTTGATAAAGCAGTATTTTTTGCAATTTCACCTGAGGTCCAGGCAGTCAAAGGACAAAATTCTAAGAATATATGACGCAGAGTTTAAAACAGGTCATCTTCTGTGTTCTCCAGTAGCTGGAAGGAGTTTGTCTTTATTAACAGAGCCTTTGAAAAAATAAAGACAACTTACATCATCTTTCCAACAGGAATTTGAGATTCCAGAGAGACAAATGGAGCAAGTTGTTTTATTGTAAATTTATAATAAATTAGTCTCTCTATTTTAAACAGATAAAGGTAGATACCAAAACTAACAGTTTTCAATACCATCCTTCTAACTCCAAAGGCCTGGGATAGAGCTCAAGGAAGAAAAAATGAAGCTTAGGTCCTGCTGCCACTAAGGGAAAATGTCTTCATGGGTTATGGAGGGCTGTTCCTAGACAGAGTATTTCGTGTGGGACACAGGACTAACACACAGACAGTCAATCTCAGCACATGGGTTAGGGGCAGAACACTGAGGCAACAGAACCTCTTTGGCAGAGGAAAATATTATTCAGCCTTAAGCCTGAATACAGCCAACTGTATTCAATAGGTAGAAAAAGTTACCAGTCTTGACATTAGCTGTAATCAAATTCTTGTCAATGTACAGAATTGCTGTTGTGCAACATAAACAGGTAAATCAGTCTGACTCATAGTCCAACTCCAACTTAAAGACTGTCGTAAATTCATCGTTTCTCCAGTTTTTTGTACTTGGCTTCTGCAGAAGGAAAAATAAAAGTATTTTAGGACTAAAGGGGTGAAAGCTTTGAATCCTGTAAAATTCATGTTGATTTACAGTACCACTTGGTGTAATTTTTTATTATAGCATGTAGGCAAATCTAGCTGCAAAATAAATTTTTTAAGAACCAGGTGCCCAAGTCAGACAACTAATATTAATTAATTTAAGCCAAGGGGACTTGGGTGCCTGGTGGAACTTCATAAATCCCTCTATTTGCAAGATTAAACATCTGTCTTTAAAATTTGAGTCAGTGAGAGAAACCAAGCCCCCTAATAAGCTGTAGTTCAGTAATACCTGTACCAGCTCACCCCCATATCACCTGTTACATTCATCTTTTCCCAGTGCTGACCACTTCACATAGAATGTTCATTGCTCAAAAGCAGCAAATGCAACTCTGCAGCTCAGAGTTGTTAAACAGAGAAAGAATTCACTTTGACTTTTTAAATCCCCTTGTAAGGGACTATGCTGTTAGGTAGTAACAGTAAAGGAGAACAGGTACCAAGTTTTTTGGAATATGCATCCAATTTATAAGCTGCCTGCTCCAGAGCTGCAACCTGCTCCTCAATTAGGTTGATTTGTTCCAGATATGGCTGAAGAGCAGCATCTTGAAAAAGCAGAAAAATCACAGCTGTTAGTTCTCAGTAATTCAGTTCCAAGAAACAGTTCACACTTGAAACACAAGAATTTCTTATTACATTCTTCAGATAGAACAATTTAAAAGCTCCTTCCTTCCCCTGCCCCAAAGTCAAGTGGTGATACTGACAGCCATGTTCCAGGGAAGTATGAAATATTTAAGAGAACTGGCTAGAGTCAACAAAAGTAACTATACAATGTGAGTAAAGTAAGTATTTCCTATCAGATCCAAAATTTGGGGTAAAACAGGACATCCAGATGTGTTTTCTCCTGTGCTAGTCTACATAGCCTATAGCTGTAAAGAAATAGACAAGACAGGCACTATGTAGCTGCATGCCTATTTCAATGAGTTTTCTTTCCTTCAGCACCTAATGGGGAGTGTAAACTAAGGGATTCTTAGATGCTTCATTTCCCAAACAAGTGTACTGGTCACTATATCCTTACCTTATTTGGTTTACTTACATTTTTTATTTAAATCCTTCAGATTTCTACTAATGTTAATAGCAATATCTTTCATTTCCAGGTACTTCAAGCTAGTCAGCTTATTCATGTTTTCCAAGAGCTTGTAGTCTTCACTGGTGGCTTAAAAAGAATAAGAGTTTATTTTAATTAAAAGTTGATGAGGTTTGAGGGTGCAAACGCTTCAAGAAGACAGGAGATTTCAAACCCATACCCAACGTAACAAAGAATACTTCAGATGGTAATTACTATAAAACTCTACAAAAAAGAGAGATGACATTTTGTAAATTGTAAAAATTAACTAGACTGATAAATACTTATTCACTTGCAATTTTACTTTTTTTTTTAACAGAAAAATTGATTAATTCCTTATGTTTCTACTCTTAATTCTGTCGGTTAAACACTTGCATTGACAAAACTGATAGCACAAATCCACACTGGTAATCTGTACCATATACCTCTCAAATCCATGCAAATCAGTAGTGCTGTGGAGTGTTTTCAAAAGTAAAGCCTATGGAATTCACTAACTTGTTGACCAGTTTGCTTTTCTTCAGCTGATGTCACACAGAACTTAATTCTAAAGCATGAATGTTGGAAATGATGTGTATGGCCCCTGCTCAGAGACAAAACAGCTTCACATGTCCCACTCGGTCTTGCTTCTCTTCTAATCCTTCTTAACCTAGACCCTTTTTGCTTTCCCATGTACAAGCTTCTTCTGCAACACTAACAAGAATTAAGTCACTCATACCATACTACATTATTTTGGAAAATACTTGTGCTATTCTGGGACTTCATTAATATGCCTAATCTCCGTATTATTAGAAGTGTACCAACACACCAGACTTGAACTGCCAGCCTTGCTAAATATGATCTAAACAGGTATAGTTTAGGCAAACTACACAACAGATGTCTTTTAAAGAAAATCAAGAGAAAAACCTACTTGCAGGTCAGTATTATGGTGCCTTACCTGTCAGTTCACCTGTTAAATACGTGGCCATTTTGCTGAACATATCTTTACAGAGTTCATTGATGTCTGCCTCTGCTGGCTCCTTAGCTTCCTCTGCTGTTTCAACAGCAGGGTCCTCTGATCAGGGTACAGACATTACAGGGTTAGGGGAAAGTCAGCAGAAACAAACCTTAAAGATTACACACGGCGCCTTCGTTTTTCCCCTTCAGACTGACTACACCACCTTCCCACGTATATTGTCTACTTTGCACTGAAGAGTAACACACCGAGGCAGTTTCCTTGAAGCAGCACCAATGCTATTTCAGAATGGCACGTCGGGGCAGAGGCCTGGTCTGACCGCACTCCCGCCCACCAGCCCCCCGGGCCCGGGCGCTACGGAAGTACTTCAGGGGGACCTGCCGAGTGACTGTGCGGGAAGGGTGTTTGTGTCCGGCCAGCGCCCCGGGGCAGAGCAGCAGCCCCCCCGCCCGCCTCGCCAGG